AACACGAGTTTGCGGTGATTGTTATAGCAGCAATGTTGTTGTTCTGTGCTATCGAGTCACCTGAGACTCATGGTCACCCTATGTACAACAGTTCTGAACCCTGCTCTATCCTGTGCCAATCTTGTTGTCTCTGACGCACCTACCCCCATTACCCCAGTCACTGAATCAATCCATCTCATTGAAGGTTTTCCTCTTTTGTGCTGTCCCTCTCCAAGGGCTGGTCCCTCCTTGCAATATGTCCAAAGTAGGTCAGACAAAGCTTCAGAATCCTTGCCTCCAAGGAGCAGCCTGGTTTAACCCTCTCTAAGCTGAACCTGTTTGTTCTCTTAGCAGTCTATGTATATTCAATACTCTTCTCCAGCACCACAGCTCAAAGGCATCAATTCTCCTTCTATCATCCCTAGTGACTGTCCAGCTCTCTGATGCATAGCAAGTAACCGTGAAGACCATGGCCTGGATCAGGCACGCCTTAGCCTCCAAACTGACATTTTTGACAGCCGACTTTTCCAGTGCAATTCATCTTTTAATTTCCTGGCTGCTGGTACCAAGAGTGCTGATTGTGGAGCCAAGCAAACTGAAACTGTTGAAAATCTCAATCTCTTCACCATCTATCATGAATGCTGCCAATTGGCCCAGTGGTGAGAATCTTTGTTTTCTTGATGTTGAGCTTCAACAGGGGACTAAAATACTCAATACTAAATTACCAATGAAACAACACTGAACAGTTTGTTTAGAATGGAGAAACCCAGCTTTCTTTCCGAAGCTCTCTGGGCCCCTAGTTTTAAAATTCTGGCATGTTCTTTTGCTTTTCAAGGAGAGGAGCAAATGGGGGGGAGGGGGGAGGTGTTTGTGCGGGGAGAAGGGTGCAACAATGAATGAATGGAATCCCAAAATCTCTGTAGATGTTCATTGAAATGAAAAATAAACAACCTAAATGAAAAAAAAAAACCAAACAGAACTGACACCTAAGCAGATAAAAAAAAAAAAATTCTGGCATGGACCTGAACATCTTGGAGCAAATTAAAAGCCAGACTCTAGTCCTCAGCCCAGAGTATCCCATTTGACAGGTACAGGCCCAAGAATGTACATTTGGAGCAGTTCCCAGGTGGTGCACCCTTGTATTATGTGCTTCTGAGTTATTACCGAGTTCCCTGTAATGAGAATATCACTATTATAATGGTAACTATGGGCTCAGGGTCCATGGCATACAAACATACTTGGTACCTACTTCCTCTGACTTCTAGCATAAAGCTTAAAACGGACCCACAGCATTACGGTGAGAATCCAATGAAGTAATTTATTATCTGTTATCATTTCCATCCAAACCAGATGTGTGTTCATTTCCACCTCTAACTCCAACATATGCAAAATAAACATCCTTCTTCTTCTCCTTGTTCTGTAAGTTATGCCTGAGTTGACTCACAGTGACCCCTCTAGCAGGTTTTCAGAGATAGCAAACTGCACAGGAGAAGACGGCCTCATGGAGCAGCCGGTGAATTCACACTGCATGCCTTTGGGTTGGCTGTGCAACTCCTTACCTCAGAGTCACAAGAAAGAAGCCCTGATTCTCATTCCTTTTTCTCTGCTCGTTGGCACATAAACCTAGGTGGTGGACACACCAACAACCCCCACCCCGATACTCCTCACTACCTCAGGGCCTCCCAGAGGACCAGGGCCCAGCAGGCTGTGTTATGTTCAGCTGCGAACTGAAAGATGACAGGTGCCTTGGAAGAAAGGTCTGCAAATCTACTCCCCAAAACCCCAGCTGCCGAGAACTCTGTAAGGCACTGCTCCTTCCTGCAGACATGCAACACTCTGGTGAGCAGTACAAGAAGCAAGAGACTTCGCCACCAGTCTTACAGTCTGGCAAGGACGCTATAAATATTTCCAAATAAATATGATTCTGTTAGTAGACAGCTAGATTGGAATCACATTTTACTGTCAAACCTGATGGTGTTTTCCACTTGAAGGAGCTAATTGTAGTCTTCAAATTGAGGGAATGCATTTCAGCTCAGACTTCTGGTAGTTGTCTGTAATTCACAAAGGCTGTCAATCTGTGAGTGCCTAGAACAGGGCCGGGTATGTTACACTGCTGTACTTAAAGGCACAACCTTTCGCAAGAGGTGCTGCTGGCCCTCACTTTACAGCTTCAGACCCTGGGCGATCAAGTCTCTTTCTGGCTGAGTCCTATTGCCCTGCATGGACGCTGCTGTTGTGTGCTGTTGAGTTTTGGACCTGACTCAGTTTACCTGCCAGAGCATTTTCAGAGACTATAAATCACACAGGAGGAGACTGCCCATCCACCTCCTGCAGAACGGCTGGTGGATTCGAACCATCTGCCTTTGGGTTGGCAGCGCAACTAGGCCACCAGAGCTCCCTCACTGTATGGACACACAAAATATTGTTTATCCCATTCACCTGTTGGTGGATACTTCTGTGGTTTGACTTTTGGCACTTCTGAATAGTGCTAGAACGGTGTACCAGTATCGGGTTTTCTGTCTTCTGAGTATTTACCTGGGAGTGGAATTGCTAGGCTTGGTTTACTCATTACTCCTAGAGAAAACAGAAAACCAAGCAACACATTTGCAAACTGTTCCCCTCTGCCATCTAACTGGCGGGCCAGGGTGTAGGCCCAATACTATTACTAATCAAACTAGCTGGCTTGACTAGGCCCGAGGCTTATGTCTGAACAATAAGGGTGGTCCAAAATGAATATTCCAACTCCGATTCTCTGATCTGGGGATGGAACGTATTTTTATTAAGTCTGCTTTGCCCTGGCAACTAGGGCTTCATGTTGGCTACCTCTGCTACAGTCTGAGGTGCTTCACGGATTTCCAGCAGTAAAGCTGTCACCCTTTCCAATCTCAAAAGAGCTTAATCAGCAAGCAGGCCGAGCACTACTTGCACCTCTTAATTTTCTATTCAGTTCCTTGCCAAGACCAAAAATATCCATCATTCAATATTTACATCAGCTCTCTGATCACGGTGCCCAGTCCGTACTTAAATGCACTGCATTAATTTTTCAGGGAAACAGTGTGGCTGGGAGAATTCGGCACCAGATTAAAATGAGGTTAAATACCAGTTTTTGTTTTAAACGGCAGTTTAACTGTATTTCTGTCGGAGAAGGGTGATACTTTCCCGCCTGCACAATGACACCCACTGTAATTTTCTCTTTTTTGAGAAAAGATAGTCAACATTCATCTCAGCTTCTCCAACAATACATGCTGTTTGAGTTGATCCTGATTCACTGTGACCCTTTATGACAGCGTCCAGCTGTCCCATTCGATTTCCCAAGCAGAAATCTTTATGGGGCAGATTGCCAGGTCTCTTCTGCTGCAAAGCCTCTGATGAGTCTGAACCACCAGTTGTTCTGTTAACAGGTAACCACTGCACTAACAGAGCTCCTTCTCCTAATAATTACTATTATGTGCCATTAAGTCCAAGACAACTACCCGGGAGGCTTTCAGAAGTTGTAAATGACCCACCTTTCTCCCCAGAAGCAGCTGGTAGTTTTGAACCACCATCCTTTGGGTGGCCAGAGCAATTTGTTATCACTAGGCCACTAGAGCTCTCTTCTCCTACTGCCAAGCAGTACCATTTAACAAGCTTCAACCATATGCTGGACAAACCTACCAGCTGTCAAACCTATTCCCACATATAGTGACCCCACGTGTATCAGGGTAACTGGGCTCCTTTAGGTTCTCAATGGCTTATTTTTCTGTAAGATCTGCAGGCCTTTGCAGATGCTTCTGGGTGAAAGAACGTCTCTTTCAGATCAGAAGAGTGCTTAACCATTTTTACCACCTAGGGGGGTTCCACTAGACCAAGAAAATGCTAATATTTTCAACAAACTGCAGTACGATCCCCATTTCGGACAGCAGGCATCAGAGCTCACACCCCGTCCACACGGGCTTCATGAACGCCCTTTCTACCTTGCCAGCTGGTCCGGGAAGGGTGTTTTGTTCTATACATATTTGCAGAACGCAAGAGTCTTTCAAAACAGCAAAGGAGGTTCACAGTCAAGTCTGACTGCAAAACCTAAAGACCATTCTGAGAATATTCAATGTGGCTCAGAAGATCTGCAAGGGACAAAACACTAATCACGGGCTGAAAGCATACCCGTTATCTTTCTCTCTGCAAAAACAGAAAGGAGACTAGAAACGAGACGCTTGGAGGCCACAGAGCTTCCAATCGCAGTCCCAAGAATCTCCGGAGGCCACAGAGCTTCTAATCGCAGCCCCAAGAATCTCCAGAAGTCAAGCAAGTTAACTGCGTTCTTAGACAAACCAACCATCTGAAAGACGTCTTGCGTTCTACCATCCATTTTCTCTTATGCACAGTAATTGTACACACTCTCTAAACACTAACCAGAAAAAAAGTGTTTTAAAGCCCCAGGGAGTCCCACAGCAACCCTCACTCGTCTTGCCAAAGTTTCGGCAAACAAAGGTCTCTTATGCTGAAACCCCGAGGAAACCGGGCTTGAACTTCCTAGGCTGCAAACAAAGCAGAGTGAAGGCAGAGGCCGCAGCACCGGAGGCGAAGGCAGTTTCAGGTAGGAACCAAAAGTCGCAGAAGGCCGGCCACACGCACCGCTGGGCAAAACTTGGGCAGAGAGGCCTAAATTTGCAAAGGCCAGAAGCCGGAAGCTTGCAGAGGAGCAAGTACGCAGTTCGCCCACGTGGGCGGCAGGGATGCCGCGAGCGGAAGGGCCCACAGGACCAGACACGAGGAGGTGGGTGGTCTCCCAGCGGCAGGGGCGCGGCCACCGGGGCCACCCGCCAGCTCCAGGAGGGCACATGCCCGGGGGAAGGAGCCGTGCCGGTGGACCAGGGGCCAGTGCAGATGTGCCCAGAGGCGGGGCGAGTCCGCAATCGCGGCTCCCGGTTCCCCGAGGTGGGTGGGACCCGGTGCGAAGCCCAGGAGCCGGCCGGGGCGCACGGGCAGGGGCGCGGTCCCGGCACGCAGGCGCACGGCACGCGCGGCGGGGCGGCTCCTCTCACCTTGACGGCCGCGGTGGCGGCGCCTGAAGCCATGTCGCCGGAGCGAGGGAGCCGAGCAGCGCAGCGGGTTCAAACACGGGCGCCGGGGTGCGCGGTGCGGGCCCGGAGAGCGCCGGGCTCCGCCTCTTCCTCCCCGGAGGGGCTGGACCGGCCGGTGGGCGGGCCCTCCGCCAGCCCCGCTCCGGGGACAGCCCCGCCCCAACCTCGAGCTCATGGACTTGCATTTCCAGGTGCCGGCTCCTCTTAGCGCCTTCACTCTGACCATAATAGAGGCCATTTAGGGGAGTGCTTGCCTGCGGCCAGACTCTGCTGGGTCCTTTCTTGAGTTCAGATCCGTTTCACAAAAACCCTCTAAGGAAAGGCTTCCTCTGGCCAGATGTTGTTGTGTGCCATCGAGTCAGAACCCATAGCTGACCTTCCAGCCGATTTTCAAAGGCAGTAAATAGCATGGGAGGAGATTGCCCATCCTTCTCCCACCGAGTGTGTGGTTGATGTGAACCGCCCCCCCTTGGGCTGTAAGGTCAAGCCTGCCCGCATTCTCCAAGTTCCCGGGGGACTGAGACTGGGAATCACCAGCAGGGAGTTAGTCCCTCCAGCTGCCAGCCCTCGGCGGAAGCCCGGACACTGTGTTCTCTACCAGTCCAAGTGGATCTTGGATCATTTCCCTTGGCTTCTAGTTGCGAGAGCTGACTTTGTCGCACTTATTTTGGGTATATTTTCTAGAGGGACCAATCCTTGGAGAGAGACACCATGCTGGCGAAGACAGAGAGGGTCAGCGAAAGAGAGGAAGACCCTCCTTTAACAAGATGAATTGACACAATGACCACCGCAAGTGGGCTTGGCAGGTGAGATGGTGAGATGGGGCAGGGTAGAGCCGGACGCAGATCTGTTGTTCTAGGGTCGCTATGAGTTGGAGTTCCGTGACACCTGGGAAGAGCAACAGAACAGATAGAAGAGATCTGGTGCCCTGCTTAGATGGGAGTTGCGCTCCTGACCCAAAGGTGGCACCTCTCTTTACTGGTTTGAATCCACTAGCGGCTCCACGGGGAGGGGAAACGGGCCACTTATTTCTGCTGATTTACAGCCTTCGGAAAAACCATTGCAGGGTCAGCTTTGAGGAGGTTATGGAAATGAGTTGGAGTTTTGAAACCAGAGATGAGTTGTACTCAAATACTTCCTTATGCGGGGCCAGAATGACGTAAAAGTAAAGAGTCACTGAACTACTTGGTTAACCCGTGTGATTTCCGAGGTTTGGCTTGTTGTTGTTGTTAGGTGCCATGGAGTCCAGTACAACTCATAGTATAGTAACCCTGTGAACAAAAGATCCGAACCTAGTCCTGTCCTGCGCCATCCTCACACTTCCTGACACACAAGAGCCCATTGCAGAAGTCATCTTGTCAATTCACCTGGTTGAGGGTTTTCCTCTGCTTTGCCAAACCTCCACCCTTCCCAGCATCATGTCCCTCTCCAAGGAATAGCACCTATAGCAGTATGTCCAAAGTACGTGAGGTGAAGCCTTTTGAGGTATGACTTTTCTTTAACTGAGCACGTGCAATGAGGTCTTCTTTAACCCTTTCACTCTGTGCAACATGCAGCAAGTACAACTAGACTCATAGTGGAGATTCCTAACTCCATCATTCAACATTTGCACAATCACTGTCTCCCAGACCTCTACTGGAATGACCCCTTTCTTTCAAACTTCTCTCATTCCGTACTGGCAGGACAACTCCACTCAACCTCCCTTGATGAATTCTTGTTAGGTTGTGAAGACCACTAAGATTAATAGCGACCCTATGAACAATAGATCTGAACCGTACCTTATCCTGCACTGTTCTTACAATCTTCTACATGTTCGAGCTCATTGTCAGCCACTGTGCCAATTCATCTTATTGAGGATCTTCCTCTCTTTCTCTGACCCTCTGCCTTTCTCAGCATGATGTTCTTTCCCAAGGACTAGCCCCTCCTGACAACATATCCAAAGTATATCAGACAAAATTTCACCACCCTCGCCTCTAAGGAGTACCATCGCTGTACTTCCAAGACAGATCTGTTTGCTGTGTTGGCAGGTCATGGGTATTCAATTCAGTACTCCTTGCCAGCACCACCATTCAAAGGCATAGCTTGTTCTTCTGTCATCGATTATGAGTGAGTATGCCCCAAAAAGATCTGTGTAGCAGTGATCTTACAGATGGCTTCTGTGCTCGCTTTGGTAACACATATACTAACACTGGAACGATACAGAGAAGATTAGCATGGCCCCTGCGCAAGGATGACACGCAAACTTGTGAAGCGTTCCATATTTTTTATTAATAAAGCAGTTCTTCATTAACGCTTAAAAAATAGTGATGGCTTCTGAGAAGCTGAAATGCAGCTAATTACTTACAATGTGAAGATAGAAGCGAAAGAAAGGCTGTGAAAGGGAAACTTTCTTTATAGTAGCAAAACACTGAAGTAAGACACAAGTAAACATTTGTTTTTCAACATATCACTCTCTTATAGTAACCTGGTCTTGCCCATAGAGGCTGTTTACTTCGACAGCAGAGACTTGCCCTGTCATTTCATTATTTGCTTTAGATCTAAATTGGTGGACCAGGAAGCCCACCTCTAGGAAAGGAAATTGCGAGGGTATGGAACCCTAGGTTTTATGGCTGCCCCTTCAGTAGGGGACGTTGACCAGCTATGCACTTTGAGGTATCATGACTCCAATTCTACTCAGCACTCCTTCTCTGCTACAAGTGGGAAAGAGTCAGATTAGACCCTGGACAGCAAGGGAGCCAGACACTTGGAGGAGAATAGACTGGGCTTAGGGACTTTTCTACAATTGTTTGCAGATGAGGGCTCAAGAATTTGCTCTTAAACATGGCATGTTGGTCAAAGGGATATTGACCCAGCCTGGTCTGATTTTGGAGTGAAGCAGTTCTTATTCCTGGAAGAAAGTAACATTTTTAGACGAAATTTATGTGTGGGAGTATGTAACTGATGGCAAATTAACCTACTTCGCAAGAAGACTCTAGCAGTTTTTATCAGTAGGCGTTACAAGAAACACAAATACTTGTGAACATGTTGGTAAGTGCCACTGAGTTGGAAGCACCACTCTTAACCCAGTGGGCTACCAGGGCATGGGAGTGGCCAGTTACAAATGACTGGAACTTATCCATGGCCACTATAGAGTTTTTAAGTGACCATACAACAATAATAGCCATGATAACAAATCTTAGCCTCCATGATATTGAGACCAGAAGAACTAGATGGTGTCTAGGTACCACGACCAACTATCTGAAACATCACCATGGGAGGTCACTGATAGAGTGGCAAAAAGAATGCAACAAAACTCAAAATCATATTGTGGTGTTAAGGGTTTGTTGTTGAAAATGGCTTTCCTAGCCATTGACTTTGACTTTGCCATGAGAATGGGCAGGAGTATGTGAATAGGATGTGTTAGTCTCTCCACAAGGGGATTGGCTATTTTCACCACTAACCTGAGCAGACTCAACAGCAGATTCAAGAGTTTCACCACCAGCAAAGAAGCAGGCATCTTTATGCGTACCCCTCCCCCCCACACACACACTTCGGGGCTGGACAGCAGATGCAGTGGCCAAAGTAGAGGACCAGAAATCTAACATGAGACTGAGCTGACCATCTGGCTGATAGTTCCCATGGAATCAAAGTCTTTGCTCAAGTTTGTTGGAGGATTTGGGGGGCGGGGGGAGGTTGCAGTGAGATATAACTCATAGACCTGGGAGCTTTGTGACACAGGCCCAAAGCCTGGAGGGTCAAGGCTAAGGTGCCCGTAAGCACCATTTGGAAGCTGTCCTGACTCAGTGATTGTATTCTACTTGTTGTTGTTGTTGTTATGTGCCATCGAGTTGCTTGCTACTCATAGTGACCCTGTGTACAACAGCCCTGACCTCCACTTTGTCCTGTGCCAATCGCACTGTTTCTGATACTCCCATCCCGATTACCCCAGTCACTGAATCAATCCACCTCATAGAGGGCCTTCCTCTCCTGCACTGTCCCACCACCCTCCCAATCATGATGTCCCTTTCCAAGAACTGGTCCCTCCTTACAACATATCCAAAGTATGTTGGACAGAGCCTCAGAATCCTTGCCTCCGGGGAGCAGCCCGGTTTATCCCTTTCCCGGATGAATCTGTTTGTTTTCCTAGCAGTACCTTAATTGGTACCCTCAATGCTCTTCTCCAGCACCACAGCTCAAACGCACCAATTCTCCTCCTATCCTCCCTAGTCATTGTCCAACTCTCTGATGCATAACAAGTGATTGTAAAGACCATGGCCTGTATCAGGTGCACCCTAGTCTCCAGAGAGACACCATTTCTCTTCAGTACATTAGAGAGGTCCTTAACAGCAGACTTTCCCATCACAATATGTCTTTTAATTTCTTGGATACTGGTGCCTGGCTACTGATATTCTACTACTAACCTGAATTTATAGCCTTTTGATTTCCCTAATAGAGTTTTGCGTGGTCTGTGAGCTCTTGAATCAGATTTTGAAGCATCTAAAACAATCAATCAATCAGACAACTCTCAAGGTCTTCACTGTCTAGTCAGAACCGACTCAGAAATGACCCTGCAGCAGGTTTTCAGAGCCGGAAATCATGTGGGAGGTGACTGCTCATCTCTCCCCAGCAGATGCTGGCAGATCCAAACCTCCAGAGGGATGCTATGGGTTAGGAGCGCGACTCCCTACAGACTAGGCCCCAGAGGCTCCTTCAAGAAGAGGTCTGCACGTCTGCAGCCACTGAGACAGCCATCTGTGAAGTATTTCTAGTTCTTAAAGTGGAAGGAATCTAGGAGTTGCTGAGAGTGTCACTGGCTTCCAAGGGATCTTGTATCAGGTGCAAAATGTTATTCTAGGCCATCTGGCAATAATTACCAGAATTAAGTGAAAACTTTAAAAAATTATTTCATTTTATTTTTTTAAAATTCCGATTTATTTACAAAGTTTGAGTACATTGTTTTTCACAAAAGATCCTTTCCATTTCCTTCACCCCATCCACCCATCGAACTGTGCAACCCT